GAAGAGTTCGTTTTCCAGACCGTCTCCAAGTAGGTTATGCTTGACTCCGTCACTGGTAGGGGAGTGATGTGGTGACGTAAACAACACACCACGAATCGTCCAAGTTGTTTACAATATTGTCAGTGGATAAGGAGAAATCCCATTTTCTAGAATATGCGATGATTATCTCGTTAAGGTAATTTCGAGAATGTTCTAGACAATCGACGCTGATATATATATACCTGCTGGTCAGACGCTCATTCATTCAGTCCGTGAGTACAATCCGCGATACACCGTGAATTACACTCCGCGATATATTCGGCAATTCCTCCGCAATTGTAACGCGTATCAATATTTGTACATACATATTTATATAATATAGTGTCTATTTTAATTAAATTAAATTGTGAGTGATTTTTATTTTAATCCTACATATGGTTACATGATTGTACTGCTCGTGTGTTGAACTTTGTTTCCAAAGAAATGGCTACGGTATCTTTTAATTCGATAGGGTCGCGTGCACAGTTACACCTCTTATTATTTTTTTCGTAACAAATTTTCGAAAGAGAAAAAGGTACGCGTAAACGCCCTCCCCTCATCAAATCTACGTATGTAATCAACAATAATTAATTCAGCACGAGTCGAAAAATACTAGTACACCGAAAATATGTCACGCTGGACACTATACTTGTCTGATCAGTGACTTGTTTTCGTTTTCACGGTTTAAGACCTCCGGAACGTGATGGAAGACCTGTAACTTCGGGAAAAATCAAATACAAAGGTACTTGCAAAAGTAATGGCAAAACTGTTGTGTAACTGTTGAACAGAAAATGCGATACGCATACTTTCATCTTGATGCTATCGAACACATCTCTTGAACATGTTCCTTATCCCCATGAACATTGATTTGACAATGCGTACAGATACGTTATCGTGTTGTTAAAACTGGTAGCGTCTACGTGGATGCAGCCACCATACGTCGTTATTTGCATTTAACTTGATCGGAAACACCAAGTTCTCAACGATAACAAATTGTTTTTTATCGTTGTCGTTTTCCTTGCTGGGAACTATCTGTTTTCATTGAGTCGAATGCAAACGATTACAGCGACGTCCAGTGGCTGCGTGCCACTTTTTTTTAATATTTTTTAATAATACCATGGCGTGTTTGTATGTTACTCAGTGCCGCAACTGTACTAATTTGGGCCCGCGGGTAAATAAAATGAATATCAAACCCCTCCCGCTGCAGTAAAAACGTACCTTCAATCAATCGTAACCAAACTATTTTGAATTATGATGTACTGGTCGCGCAAAAAAAAAGCAACGTTGATGTGCACAAAACAAAATCGATTAACTATTGCTCAATCTCAATTAATAATTACGGTTTTATTTACTTGCTTTCTAAATATTTTTAAAATATTATTGTTACATGCAGTACACACGGTTAATGAGGCACTGAGGTTACTGCAAAATAAACGCTGCAATCGTCGAAATGCTAAACGCTGCGGTCCAGTCACGGCGTCAAACTTGTTTTTCGTGAAACCGATTTACCACTGCACCGCATCGGTTTTCCGATCATTCACGAAACGCACGCGTGGCGAACGAACACCTAAAGGCGGGCTTACACGTGAGGCACGTTCGTATTTTACGATCTTGTGAGTTGTGACTTACGAGCGTGATTTCAAAAATCATCACACGATTCGTGAAAGTGCTTACACGTGAACGCTATTATCCTTCGGTGATACGGAATTGATAGTGGTGGAAGCATTCTATTGTATACCATACTGAGCTTTCACGACTGAAATATCCAACATGGTTTGATATTGCACGAATGCAAGTCGTTACAGGTTCGTGAATGACAATCGTGAAATACGAATTGATTGTTTACACATACCGTAAGCTACGCTTTCGTGAGCCAAGATCGTGGCTCACGTCTCGTGTAAATTCGCTTTAACGATACGTAACAACGATAATGTTAATGTATACGAACTTGGGTTACCGTTAATTTGAGTAATGTCTAACGCGCTAACAATACCCGGTGTCGTCCGCGTAATAATATGATACGGCCGATTTGCATACCGCGGTTCACGCGTGGTAGTCTGGCGCTGTTCGCCAGTCAGAATTCCCGAAATCCGGTGATTTCGAGTTGTGGGTTATACGGTGTTTCGCATTCGGTCGGGTATGATATTGTGACAAAACGCACGAAATGGATATTAAACTCGCCGCGTCGTGTTTGTATATTTTATATGGTGCGTGCGAATATTAAGTTATTATTTTATGTTCCATTAATCCATTGTGATAAAAGAGCGGCGAGAGGACGTGTTTCAGTGTGTATATGCACTACAGTGAAATGCGAGTTTGTGTACAATATTACGTCCGATTGAGTATATTAAACCACGAGTACAGATACTTCATACCCTCAATGACTCACGTACATGCAGTATACAAATAAACACATACACACATACACTCGCCCACACTTGCGTGCATATGTATACATACACGCTCCCACGTCTGTATATAATTTATTTGCATATGCGCATAAATATGAGGTATTGATTTCTCAACTTTCAAAAGATTGACATTTAAACGATTATTTTATTACATTATCGTGGCTCACTCGGGCCGTTGATTCATATTCAAATTCGTTTTTGAATTAATCATGCAATTTTCATTTGACATTTATATAAAAAGTGAAATAAACAGCGTAGGACGACGTTGATGACGTATCTTACGTTGGGTATTACGGTTTACACTTTTGTAAATAATTAAAATACATGTTAAAAGTTACAACACCCTTCTAATGTCAATATGAAGCTTCTTCGCTTATGGTTCTTAATAAAAATTCTCTTAATTAGTAAAAATCACTATATTGGTTTTATCCATATTTATAAACTACCGGGTAAGTTGTTCGAAATTACACCAATAAAAAATGTGTCCAACTCAAGAAGTGTTGAAAACAACCGTTTTATCCTGTCCAATGGTTATACAGAGCAGTTTTTTGGAATACTTAGATTTTCATTGGCGTTTTTTCGATAAAGTTACACTATACCAATGAGATCATAAGCATGCTCCGGGATGGTATAAATAGATTTTTTAGGGCCAAAAAGTTCAAGCTAATTGTAGTGCAATATTCAATAAAAAATAAGTTAGTTATCCGAAATGTGTATTAAATTACCAAGGTAATATTTACTGTGTATAAATAGGTTATAAGTTACAAAAAAAAAAATAGTCACTACAAGCTTATACAGTATACCAGTCACGCCGTTATGTGAAAAAAAAATGGACAAGTAAAAATATTCGCTGCACATGCCTATGTATGAAATATTATGTTTAACGCGGTCAAATATACACCATGGTAAAATATTGTTATTGGTGAGCCCAGCTAGAAATCCGTAATGATTGCTGAAAGCCATAGTCCTCGTAGAAGTGAAGTTGGGCAGTGGTCAATTTGGAATCTACCAACAAAATCGTTATTTTCAATTGGAATATTATGTCGTTTATAATAAATCTATGTAATTTCATAATATTATATACATTCATTCTGCATTTTGGATTACAACTGTGGGTTTTCACCGTTAAATATGTGCTATGTTTCAACAAAACCACGACGTGTGTGGTAGTAGCTTTGGATCCTGTACTAATCCTGTCTAAATTGCTCTTAATATATTTATTACTATTTAGGTTTTTCTACGAATCCACGTCGTATTTCATCAGTCTCCTGTTTTTCTCCTTCATCGCGCTCCCGTAAACAAAACTGTTTAAGCATTTCAATTACATGCTATCATCCTATCGCTGCGACATTGTTCCGCTCTATTATTCGAAGCGTATAGCGTGGCAGCTTGGTCTTAAATGTAAAGCATAGTTATATCCACCATCGTCTTATTTATTTCAGCTTTATAATCGTATTGTTTAGAAAAAATTCTACGACTAAAACCGCTACTAGTTCAGTAGTTATAGTCGCATTAATAATAAACGAGTGGACTGGAAAGATGTGCGACGGCTTAGTTGATAACGTGAAGTTGGCCGTGCGGTAGCGCCCGGAAATTGCGTTTGGCTGCACGATATTACACCTATTACCATTTGTTTTGTAATAATATTCTCGGATACGCCATTATATCCGTGCAATTGGTGATACTTATGGGCGTAGACACTAGACGTCGCTGTAATCGTTTGTATTCGACTCGGATAAAAGCATGTTTTCGATGACAGAATATAAGTAATGAGAACATGGAAATAGTTTACCGTTATTGAAAACTTGAAAACCTGTTTTTATCAAGTTTGAATTAAAATTACAGTTGAATCTTGACTATCTGAACTAATTGAGACCGCGTACCTACTTTGGATACGCGAAAGTTCGGTCATTGGAAATTGTTTTAATAAACATATACAAACATATAATGCAAATACTCTATATTGATAAATACGTATGTTTATATTTAATATTATTATAGTTGTGCATATCACAAAAAAAAAAAAATAGTATACATATATTATTATTATATTTGAATTGGATTATTTAAAAATATATAGGAACACATATAGATTATAGATATTTAATTTAAGGGGTATTTTCGACAAATCGTTATCGATTTTGTTTTGTAGTGTTTTAAAAGCATTGATATATCAACACAATGTTTCAAAAAAAATATGTTTAACTATTATTCGTGTTAAAATCGATGATATAAATAATTTTTTTGACAGTTGTTCAATTGTTCATGTATAATATTGATTCACTTTAACTTTTCATATATAATGATTATTGCAGCAGTTTTAGTAAATATACTCGTATATATATATAAGTCTCCGGTTTCCGATAGCCAGAGTGAATCGTTAAAGGCGTGTGTACACGATCATGAATCGGAATGCAATGTTGAAATAGCGTTCGGAAAATCGACCCTCGTTTTAACTTTCTGAGCCCCGGGATGAAAAAGCACACGAAAACCGAATGTCGTTATTAATATAGTGGTCTATCATTCGGCGAATGTTTACTAAAAATATTGATCTATCCATGCGTTACACAGGTGATGGGTTGATGGTGAAAGCAGTGGTGCCTCGATATAAGGTTCGCGGCGAGACGGCCGTGCTCCGTTGTGATTTCGAGTTGGAAGGCGCGTTGCTATACGCGGTCAAATGGTACCGGGAGAACGAGGAGTTCTATCGGTACGTACCCAAGTCAGACCCTCAGAAAACTTCGTACATCGTAGACGGGATCAAAGTCGACGTGAGTATTGTGGACGTTTTTATTTTTTTTCTGATTTTTTTACATTTTGATACCACGAGCGCTGAGCGATCGTGAAAAGTAGAAAGAAAAAATAATGTTTTTTTTTTTTTTTTTGTTTTTATCGTAGCACGTACACTCCAACAGTAGACAGTTGACTTTGAGAGATATTACGCTGAAATCCACGGCTAACTATCGATGTGAAGTTTCTGCCGAAGCACCATCGTTCGCTTCCGCACAAGATGGTGGCCGAATGGAAGTTATATGTAAGCAATTTTCGAATTCAATTCCAATACATTATAGGTATAGATGACGATTGCGGTTTGAAATTACTTTTGGTATAGAGAAATTTTCTAATGAGAACACCGAACGAAACGCGACAGTTGCATTTATGATAATCCGAGACGGGCAGATGAGAAACAATTAGATTCAGTGTGATACATTTTTAACACGAAAATACACATTCCCGTTTGACCGTGATCTGTGTTTTTATAACAGCGAGAGCGATTAGGATCTATAATTCAATAACTTATCTCATAAATGTTGAAAACGCTTGGACTTTCACCGTTAACTATTAGAATACGACATATTACAGAACAGATAATTTAATTGTTAAGTATTTGGTACGAGTAATTTGGGTTGAACAACGATGCATATTGGTTATAGTGAGCCTTAATTATAGTGTTACGAACACAAAAAGTGTATCAAACAGTATTTGACGTTATGATTGCATTGGAAAGTATTGCAATCGGGGAATCTCGTCATTCATCATCGAACCCTTGTTCGCTGTTGTTGTACATACTCGCGTGAACATAGAATCCACCAGTAAACGATCGAATATTATGAAATGAGCGATCACGTAGACGTGCATTGGTCGTGTAAAAATACTGATAACGATTTAACAATTGGAAAAAATGAGCGGTTTTTGTGCAGTACGCGGTTCGAGTGTAGCGATTAATTGATAAAACCGAAAACCAAAATAATGTGTAGGTACGTCTATGTGTGATATATTGTTCGGAACAACGCGTGTGCGATGCGCTGACATCCATTACCACAGGTGAAGATTTGGCGAAGTTATTTTTATCCGTACAATTTCACAGTTTGACGTACAGTTCGCATTCCACGGATTTTGTAGAAAATATAATACACATCGCGTCCAATTAAAACGCGAACGTTTCCCGTAGACTGCAGATTTAACATACTCACAAGCAATTTATAAAATTACCGTTTTACGTTCGATAAACGACCCGCTGGAGAAAAAGACGACTGCACAAAGTTTTTCCGCATACACAAAAGAAAGTTCGCGAAGTATTTTAATTAGTCAAACGGTTATAACAATAATATACCGGGCGGGAAGCGGGCAGGCAGTGATAACGAAACGAGTCAAGAAAAGTGTACTCGGTATGCTATACGGAGCAACGATTATGTACCACAAAATAGTGTACGCGGTGTAGTTTTATAATACTTTATGTGGCAGATTTCCCATGCAGTTGTGCACGTACCGGGGAAAAAAATCATTCATATGATAGGTTTTAAGGACTACGTCAACTACGATCACAACAGTTGATGACCAAACACTGTCGACGGAAAATCTAACGCAGTGGGTTACACGCGTTACGTTTCTTGTGACTTTTTCGCTTACACCGACTACAACCGATTAGCAAACGTGTGTGTAAAAACCATGTGTACGGGTAAGATTTATTGAAAATGTCCGAGGGGAGAGAGGATACATCGATTCTCACCGATGTCTATTGCTGAGATAAGTTCAGCGTTTTCGTTGATCGATGTGGCGATAGACAACCGAGTACGAACATAGTTATTTATGTTACATAAATAACCATGTTCGTACGTAACAGTGCTCGACTTGAGGGGGACGTAGGAAGACGGAGTACCCCAACTTATTTTCAGAAATTTTAGCGTCCCCTTACTCTATTATTATGTTATAATCATAACGCTTAACAAGTTTTGGGGACGTTCTTTTTTTTAAATTCAATAGAGTCCCCTTTGTTAATTTTTCCAATTCATGCACTGTTTATGCATAGAACAAACGCCGCGGTCCGACAAGCTTATCGATGATCGATGTATTAGTTATGGATCATGGTCAAACGCGTTGATCATCGGCAATTACAGCAATTGGGCGCTTTCGTGGACTGTACAACGGCGGCAGACACAAAACGTTTTTATTAGTTTATCTCGGGCTCATTGAATGCAGTTTCGGTGAAAAGATAAAATTTTTTAGGTCAGATATAATGACACCGAATACGTTAACAGTTATATAGGTATATTTTATTGAATCGTTGAACGGGCGCCAAAATAATTTCCCTTTATAATAATAATAATAACTGTCGCGCGGATTAAAGTTTTCTATTAATCTAAAATAGTGTTTTCGTTCTTTGCGTTTTTGATTTTGTTAATTTTTATCCTTGCGTACCCTTATAAATTGTGCGCCTGGCTATCAGGAGCCACGGAAATGTGTAAATCAAGACATTTAAAGCGTAATCAAACAATAATATAACATTATAAATCTTCGTTTCGCGCCCGATAACGTTATCTTAAACACATACTAAGATCGTTTCCGTTTCGAAACTTAAAAGGGAACAACAATAAGGGTTCGTTCTTTTTGCTGCAAATAAAAGCTGTAGATCTACCTGCCATTAAAACACGTAGTTTCGGGTACTCCGGCACGTGTAAGCAAAACGCTGTATCTTATTATTCCCGGTGAAGTGTGTACGTGTGTACGCTATTGATGAAAACACACGTGGACTTAGGTGTTTGTTTTATTTTCTTTCACTCTTTTTATTCAAAACTCAAAAGTACTTCTCGGCGAACAACCCTTGACATTCGAGACATCAAAATTTCAATAACACCACTGCAAGTCAACAGACTGTGGGTCATCATTTTTCGTCTGTCGTACTCGTACATATTGTATATCTTCTGTACATTATTTTCTTACCGTGTACTTTTTTTTTTGTTCTTTTTTTTATAATTTCCTAAGACTAAAAAAATCGTTATATCAATTAGTTCCATATCGGGTAATTAATGTTTAATTGGAAATGTCAAATGTGCAATATAAATGACGAACAATCGAACGTTTATCGTTTTAACATCTGCACTAGAATAACAATTACAATAATAATGATTTTTTATAACACTTCGCTTGGAATATTTGCACCCTTTACAAATGGTGTTATTCTACACGAATCAAAATAAAATATTCATCGTTATATTATTGAATGCACCCGTGTTAAAAGCAGTACATAATTCGGTTGCGTATTTTATGTTTAGTGCACCGATTCGCGTACACGGTCAGCTCCAAAAACAAAAACGTACTGCACAATACGAGTAGGTTGTACTCCAATTAGTAATGATAATTGATTATCTTTGTGTCATTATGCCTGAATTCGTTTTGTCGTTTCCGATAACGGTCAGGGGCGGGTTTTATCATTCACCAAAGGAGGGGCTAAAGGAAGTTCAAGAATTTAGTTAGTTGTTTTTTAAATCTATATAAAATTTCAAGTTACAGAATATGTTTTTGAGTCCCTCATAAGTAAGTCATTTTTTTTACAATAGTGACACATTTTAAATAGTTGCATTATTAGTATTAATTTTAATCTGAAGCCATTTTAAAAATATAGATATACACATAATTAACAACAAAAATGAGCTATTATAAAAAAATATATAAAATAGGTGCCATATTAATCAATGACGATTGATGATATTTTATAATAATTATCAATATATCAATATATCATAATCCTTGGCTTTGTAAAGTAGTTAGCTTACTCCCAAGGGGGGCTAATGCTCCCTTAGTTACTCCCTTAAATTCGCCCCTGATAACGGTTGACAATTTCACTAGCATGTGTAGGAATTATACAAACGGTAGGTATTTTGCTTAAAATATTCGCTCAAACAAGTGCGTAGCATGTATGTGTAGTATTGTGTAACGTGTATCGTTTAACATAGAGGAAAATCATGTTTAGAATGATTCTTAGAAAAAAATCCGGAAATATAATATTTCGGTTAGACATGCCGAGTTAGTCGGTACATAATGTGGTATTTTCGAGCGTCATTGTTTATTAGTATTCCATGATTGCCGAAGGCCATATATGCATTCTATCCCAGTCCTGTTGGGCGTAACATCGACATCAGAACAGTAAATTAATATGCTGCCTGTATAATATTTTATTTCGGTACAACATTTTCTCGCAACGGAGTTGGGTTGTATTTACTGCATAACTGAGATGGTTCAGTACCTACTAGAAATTGGTTGGTTGGCACGTGGATCGTGCACGAATAACTTAACTTTTGATACAACTATGCGCTGGAAATACAGCTTAATGTATTTCATCGACTTATTTAGAACATTTTGGAAACCCACCTTTTTTACTAAGTGTAAGGAGACCGGTGGCCGACTTCGAGAGAAACTTTTTGCGTTATTTTCTAACTTTCCAATAAACACTTGAAGAAACAATTTTTATTACGTTTTATTCCACAGATATAATACTTTTAGGTGAGTGGATAACGGTGTTATTGTATATATAAAAAAAAAAAAAAAATGGTAAACAAAGAATTTAATTTATAATGAAAATGAAGGTTTTTCAATGTAGCACGTGGCCGTTTTCTCAATTTATGGTCAGTTATCATTGAAAACGTTGCACGACCACCGATTATTGCAGTTCGTTAAAAAAAAAAAACATCACGTTCGCACTGAAATCCGTTAAACTCTAAAGGTCTATTTACATATGTCCGGCCCGTTTCTTTTTCGTTTTCGTATCGTCTGGTCAGTGTCCCGTGGTACTCATGGCACTCAATTTTTGCTATGCGCATATCTACGTAACTCAAAAAGTTCAATGTCGAACAGTACTTGTGTCAAGAAGCTTTACGTATTGCTTACTTCACGATAAAACATTTAGAAATTGAAGATTTAACAATGATACCTAACCTGTACTTTTTTAACCAAAATATAAAAAAGTTAAGTACAAAGGTTAAATTGGAGTATTTCTATAGATACGAAGGTATTCTTATATTATCTCATATTCTCATATAATACTTTAATTTATGCTACACATATTTGATTTATATATCCATAGTAAATCAATTTATTTACTGTTACTGATTTTTTTATGCACGATATAAGAACTATTTTCATTAGATATAAATAAACCCTCAAGTAAATTCCAAAATAAGTTCTTCTCATTTCAATTATTTTATAAACTATTATTTAAACAAACTATTGTAATGCTACTTTTATAGTAATATTTAT